GAGTGGGTGAGTGTGAGAGTGGGTGAGTGTGAGAGTGGGTGTGTGTGAGAGTGGGTGAGTGTGAGAGTGGGTGAGTGAGTGTGATATAACATGTTGGACTGCGTCCTTGTGGGGTGAAGGCAATGCTTAATTAAGGTAAGGCTGACATGTTTGAGGTATAACCAGTAGATTTGTAAATATTCTGTTATTTATGTATTGTACTCAATAAGTATTTAGTTTATTTAGTTTCCAGGAGAAGGGATATTACTGTCTAAAAATAAAACGTGTATAATAAACTGTGTAAATACTGGATGATCATATTGTTGAATAAAATGAGTTTTTTGTTGTCGTTTCTTTTGTTATGGTGGCAAGATAACAGAGCACGTTAAATAAAGTTGTAGTACTGTGTGTAGAACATAAGTACTGGCTGAAGGTACATCATGATGCCTTCAGGCTCTGCTCAGTGAACACGAGTACTGGCTGAAGGTACATCATAACGTTATCATGATGTGTTCACATGTCATCTGTAAAATGTAGTTTTGGTGATAAACTAGAATGAATCCAGCAGTTTGAAGGAGATGTTTTCACATGAATATAAAACAGATATTAAAGATGAATTATGAGATGTTTAACTTCTAACACGAGCTCTAAGAACATTATTATACTTCATTAAAAATAACAATGAAGAGGTTTGTTTTAATCAATAAAAATATAATCTTTGATTTCCTGATCATTTGAATTTTGTGTTTTTATGAAGAAAAAAAACTATAAATCACTAAAACAAAGAAGTTCTGATGTTTACTGACTTCAGAGCGTTGAAATGATTCCTGTGACGGACAGCTGCTGTAATCAAACATCAAAGGGATTTATATCTGTTGATATGGATCAACGATGATCAATAATTAATATCTGTGGCCAAAGAAACCTGATCATGGATCTAAAGGTTATATTTGCTCCCTGAATTCTTTTGTGCTGATCCGATCCGTGACTCTGATCCCAACCGTGGCTTTTATGATGCTTTGCACCTTTAAAGACCGAAATCTGATTTTCATTTCTCTATAAAACACTTTTGCACCTTTGTTGCAACGCGTCTCGCGCTGAAGCCGATACCTGAGACCCGTCTCTGTGCTGTCATGGTTTAACTATATACGTGTGTTTTTTACCATGGCTCGGGCCCTCTGCTCGTCTTCCTGGCCGTCGTGGTGTCTGCGGTGGCCGAGGCTCTTCTGTTCGGGTCGGTTCATCTCCGGCGTCCCGCTCAGCATCTGCACTCGCAGCCAGTGGTACACCATCTCTGCACTTCCCTCACAATCAGCCAGAGTCACCTGGGCGGTGCCCTGCAGAAGACACACGTCGTCATCTTTGATTCAGGATATGGGCGCGTATCACAGGAGAGAATAATCATCGGTCTGTTTCGACCCACCAGCAGCTCCTCCTGAGCCTCGGGTCCCAGCGAGCAGACGGACAGCTGCAGGCCGCACCCCCCCAGGGCGGTAGCAGCGACGGGAATGCGGAAGCCTTCGTTGAAGCTCATCTGAGGCTGCGGCTCCAGCGCCGTGCAGCAGTAGAACGCACAGGCCCGGCCGGCGTCCAGAGGAACCAAGTGCACCTTCACATACCTGCACATGAACGGATGAAGGTTTCTGATTATTGATAACAGCTTGCACCTGTTGGACGGAGCCAGGCTCAAGTTTCAACAATTAGTTTCTAGAAGCTTTAGAAGCAGGAAGTCTGAAAATCTACATGTGAGTGAATATTTATCAGCCAAATCAAATAGTTTATATTCAACCTTAGTTTCTTTAGAACACATTTAATACTGGACGTGTTTCTCTGCAGGGTTTCTATGAAGGTGATGAAGTAGTTCATGAATATGAGATATGAGTTTATAGATGATTATAATCCCTCCTCTCTAGTGGAGCTTAGTTTATAAACCTACAGTCTGTGTTCATACCTCTGAGTTACACTCATTGTCTTCTTGAGTCTTCACAGCTGATTGTGTTTGTATTCTGGTGGTTCAGAGAATAAAGCAATGAAACGCCTCCGTTCATGCTCGGAGCCTCTGCAGACGGCACGCTACACAGAACACCATAAACTAAGCTCCACTAGAGAGGAGGGGTGATAATCATCTATAAACTCATATCTCATACTCATGAACTACTTCATCACCTTCATACAAACCCTGTAGAGAAACACGTCCAGTATTAAATGTGTTCTAAAGAGACTAAGGTTGAATATAAACTATTTGATTTTTAACACCTCCTGTTTCTAAAACATTTCAAATATACAATAATATAATCCCATGACATGTAAATAATGATGTCAATGAACTATCTGTGCCGGCTCCACTACAGCAAGTATAAACTAAGCTTAACTGTCTTATGCTAAGCTAAGCTAACTACCTCCTCCTGAAAGTACTCACACTTTAAAGCCGTCTCTCACGATGGACCTGTTCAGGTTCTTGAGCTGGAGCAGATGCAGCCGGAGAGACTGAGAGCTGGACTCCCACCTGCAGAGACGGACGCACAGTTAGACCCTGAGGGGGGGGGGGGGGACGACGACGACCATCTACTCACACTGAGCGGTCACTCACAGCAGACCCAGCTGGATCTGGGTGGGCTCGCTCACTGAGGTCAGATCCTTCATGTACGACATCTCATCGGACTCCTCGGCCCTGCTGGATAAACAAACCGTTATTCTCTCATCGCACTCAAGCGGCTTCAAACTCAAGAGTGTGTTTGTGTCTCAAGACGTTCACTGTGAGCGTGACTTTAGTGTCTTTGTGTCACTTTGTTCTAGTTGTTGTTTGTATGTAACTTAAAGCCAATAAACTGCCAGTTTATTGGCTGTTAGGAAGGTCTGACTCTCCATACCGCTGTGACAAACAGAGCACCAGAGACTCTGTCATTTATTGTTTTGCTTGTGTTGTTTTAATAATAATCATTTTAAATTATTACAATTCCAGTGTCAGTATAATAAGAAGTATATCAGCGGCACAAAATGGTTTTAAGGCTTTTTGTTTTTTGTTAATTCACTCGTCAGTTTATTATTCTGAACCTTCTTTTACTTCTTTCACACAGAATGTGAACGTTAAATAAATAAAGGCATCGACCAATCACGTTGCAGAACTGGTTGAGACGTGCTTGTATTTAACTTTATTAATCCTTCAAACATCGACAAAAGCAGATCCACTCTTTCTGTTCTTACTTTTCACAATAAAAGCCCGAAACACAATGTTTGCAGACGAGTATTTCGGATGTTTGTGTTGTTCATTCTTTAAGCCTTTAAGTGTTTAAAGGTCTTTAATCTGACAACAATAGTTCATGACATGACTTCTGGGACAGTACATCTTCTAATATAACAATACTATCTAATAATAATATATAATTAGTTCTCCTGACAGTTTCCTTCAGTTTCTATTTTCTTTTTGCTATTTTAAACTATTTCTGAGTAAATGTAATATTTCCTAATATTATTCAGATTCCTTCCTCAGACTTGAATCCCACTCGGACAAGCGGACGCAAAGGCCACAAACGGTCAAAGCTGACAGTATTTGTGGGAGTTGCAGGGTTCCTCCTCTGCCACTAGGGGGCGCAGTCCCTCCAAAGAGGAGCTGGTTGTTTCTGGACCTGCTCTCACCTTCTGCCCCAGGCCTCGAACACACCGCTGTCTGTGGCCAGAGCGTCCTCCGACACGCCCGCAGAGACTCTCCGGGCCCGTCGACCGCTCCTGTTGGTGCTGTTCCCCCTCAGGGTCACTCCTAAACGGGGGGGGGGAAACACATCCAGTTAAGACATCCGGTCCTCTTCCCTCCTCTGGGACGAGGACCGGATCTCTTTTCACTTGCCTGTGGAGGTGAAGGCGCCCTGAGTTGCGGCGTCTCGGTGACTCTTGTTGTCCAGCGGGTGCACGCCGCCGGCGTCCTCGGTGTTGTTGTGGGCCGGCGGTTGCGTCTGAGCCCGCAGACCCTCCAACAGGCCGCGGCCCGCCTGCTCCATGTACTCCTCCGTCATCTGGGTGAGCGGGCAGTCCTGGGGGGCCGAGTGGTAGGGCGTGTCCATGGGGGAGCTGGGCGGCGACAGGGAGGAGAGCGAGGAGCGGGAGGAGAGCGAGGCCAGCGACTGCGGGGTGTCGTGGGAGCGCTTGCTTTTGCTCTGGGTCAGAGGGTCCGGGGTGAACACGGAGCAGTCCCGGGACGCCGGCTCCGGTTGCAGCAGGTAGCGCAGGTGGGGGTCCAGAGGCTCCCCGGCCGCGTCGTGGCGCTCGTACTGGGGGAGGCCGTAGATGTCGCTGAAGCTGATGGAGCTGAGGGAGCCTCGGCTGGACGCCAGAGAGCCACGGCTGGAGGCCAGAGAGCCGCGGCTGCTGCTGGACGACACTGTCAGAGAGCTGGCCGACAGGCTGGAGGCAAAGAAGAAGAAGAAGAGACACATGAGGAAAGACGAGCGCGGCAACGGATCACAAAACTCGCATCACAGATCGGAGTCAAGGATCAAAGAGCAGCACAAAGTAAAAAAGAGAAAAAAATGTAACTTTCAGAGATCCCAGATCGAGCTTTGTTGCTCTTTGATGTCCTTCAAACTACTGGATTTATTCAAGTTCATCACTAAAACTACATTTTACAGATGACTTGTGAACACATCATGATAATGTTATAATGTACCTTCAGCGAGTACTCATGTTCACTGAGCAGAGCCTGAAGGAATCATCATGTAACTGAAGTGAACCTCCGTTGGTTAGCCGTTAGCGGTGCTGCTAACGTTACTAGCTCTCCTCCT